CTCAGGTCCCACAAGGTTCACCAAGGCCAAACTTGGCAACAAGCGGGGAAGCAACAGGACCCTGGGCCCTGGCAAGCCCTAGAGGCTAGGAATCAGGATAGGGGGGTGTTAAAAAAGTCCAAATTTCGGCAAAATTCATACCCAGGGGCCCCACGGGAGTCACTTTTTTGGAAAATTCATACCTTTTCAAGAGTATGCTCAGGCTAAAATCCCCTAAAAAAGGGGGGCCCCGGTAAAATGTCCAATCTGGGGCCAAATACCAAGATTTTATTGGTCTAAACCAGGTTCTCATACCTAAAATGGTCTCTTTCATGAGTACCATTTTGTCAAAAATCACAAATTTGTACCCATTTCAAGAGTATGATTTTGGCTTTTTGGCTATTTTCACATACCTTTTTCAACCCCCTAATAGGCACCCCCCCTATTAGGGGGCTTTCCAGGGTCCTGACACAACTTGCATAACTGTTTTTTTTGGTGTGATTACCTGGTCTACAACAAATTACAATCCTCGGATCTTTCTCTTCACTTGAGCTGGTTTCAAATTTCCTGGATGTCTGATCCTCCAACAGGAGCTTGACAACCCCCAAATTAGGTGGGTGAATTTTCTTTGGAAAAACCCTAAAATCATACACCCAAAAGCAGTATGAATCTGTTGGCTCAGCTTAAAGGCTGTGCACCAAACATAAATATTGTCTTGGCTGTGAAGTTGGGGGGAAGCCTACAAAAAGGTCTGGTCCCCACAAACTCACTGAACATGTATGAAGATGACATTCATCTGTGCCACCCAAAGTATGAATTTAGGCTCCCTTTGGACACTGTGTTACATGTTGCCAATTTTGAATTTTAGCATTAATATACATAACATGATCCCATTGTAAACCTTAAAATTTATGATTTACTAGTATATGCCCCCAAATTTGGGGAGGCAGCTTGTGTTTGCCCCGGATGTTGGGGGTTTTACTCGATGACCTTTGGGGTTTTCTTGAGTTGGACACCTGTCTGCCTCAATCTAACGCCGACGTCGACAAATCCAACAAATGTGAATTGGAGGTCGACACCAGCGTTAGATTGCATGACAGTTTGTTTGGCTCTCTAAGCCTATTTTTTTAGTTATATGTAGATAACAATGCTGTCCAAACAGACCTTAATCAAAATTCTGGAATTGTGAGTACCCACAGTTACAAGGTTCACCAGGGTGCTTGACCCTCATGGTGTTACTGCAAAAGGGGTTGTATCAGTCACAATTTACAACCCCCCACAATAAGGTTGCCCAGGGGCGACCAATATAAGATTGGACTCATTGACCAATTTTTTAATCAGTCAGGCCCACCAATACATTAGAGCAAATGACAAATTTATGGGTGGGCCAGGCCAATATGAAATTGGTCAAGGAGACCAATCTTATATTGATTGCCTACGGGTGACCTTATCAGAGCATCATTATTGGTTTGATAAGTTGACGCGAGTTTTAACTTGCATGAATTGGCAATCTAACTTATCAACCCCCATTCAGTCGCACCGGTGTAGTTTGCCGGGTGTGATTTGGAGTGGTGGTGTGTAGTGTGGGCGGGTGGACTCCAAGTTGGAGTGATCGCACTCGCTAACTACGTTGGTAACCATTGCTACAGTTACCAATGGTTAGCTGAAAACGGAACATCGAGGCAAGTTATCACCAACTTAGCTCGGTCCGGTGCGGTTGAAGTTCGGTGGTAAGTGGCTTAACTCAAGCTAACTTAGCGACCAATAATGATGCTCTCAAGGGGGGTTGTAACTGATACAACCCCTTTTGCAGTGTGTCTCAGACAATGACTGTTTGGAGAAAATTCCTCTATGTGCACATTCAAATAGATTAGAGATGGTTGCGGATAATCCGCCGCGGATATCCGCTATCCGCTGGCGGATACCCGCCAGTGCCAGCGGATACCCGCCAGCGGGTGCGGATTCGGGTGCGGATGCACCCTTCCCCCTGAAATACTGGCGGGTATCCGGGTATCCCTTGGGATACCCGGTGCCAAGAGGCCACACCGCCGGGAGGAATCCCTCCTGGCAAGCTGGTTTTTAAACCAGCTCGTCGGGAGGGGTTCCTCCCGGCGAGCTGGTTTTAAACCAACTCGTCGGGAGGAACTCCTCCCGCCAAGTGGTTTTTAAACCGTGTCTGCGGGAGGGTTTTCTCTCGATCGGGGGATACGAAAGCCAACGGGAGAGAAACGGTGCCCCCCATTGCGGTGTTTGAAAAAACCCTGGAAGAAGCGTCTCAACTCGCATCCGCGCCATGTA